AACACTAGAAGTGCAGCTGCTTCATTCCTGTGCTAACAAAACTCACATAAAATTCCTTCACTGTCCCTAAACCTCCCACCCCCCCCCTCCCAAAAAAAACGTTGACACAGACTGGAGTCTCAGCAAAGTCAATAGCACACACACGCATAAAGCACCCTTCAGAAGTGCCAACACAAACAGTCCAACACTAGAAGAGGCAGTACATCATCGATGGAAGTAGCAGTCACCACAGACCAGTGGTTTCATGCAAAATTAATCACATAAGGCACCACCAGCTCTCTGACAACAGGCCACTCGCCATTTTCTGAATTTGCAGCTCACAACACAAACTATGTTAGGCAGTCAAAAAGAACACCAAATGATATCTGCAGCTCACAGTGTCGCTCCATGCACTTAACTCAGTAGCTGGGCTGTGGAACTACTACTTTTCCATACAGAGGGAAAATGCAACAGTTTACAATTGTCACAAACAAAAACATGCCACCACTAAAAACGGTTAGCCTGCATTTCCACCTTACTGCCTGATAGTCTAAAATTTAAAAAAATACCATCTGGTAAAACAAATACAAAATAAACAATACAGAATATTAGTACATAGACAGCCAACACACTAGTTTATCAGCCCTCACCACAAATCACATGTTTAAATATCCAAACGGAAACCAAAAGACAACTGATCAACAACATACTTTTACCAGCTATTTATTACAATGTCACACACGGTCACTGACCAAGGTACTATCAGTTTTTACACTCCCTGGTTACCCAGTTTTGTGTGTGTGTGTGTTGGGGGGAGGGGGGGCGGGAATACAAATGAACGGACCCAAAAATATGCTTCATTTACAAATGGTTAAGAAGTGGACATGCAGGTCCATCTTACATTCTGCCCTTCTAGTCTCCCTCCTGTCATACATCATTTCATTTATACATCAAGCAATATTGAACACTATAAAAAAAAAGTCAGTTGCATATCCTTTACAGGACGTTTCAGAACCAACCCCAGCATTTTTTGGCTTGTTGGTTTCCTAGGCAAATTTTACATTTAGTAGTTTGCCATTGCTTCTGATCGGTCAGCTCTCGGTACCACTGTCGAAACCAAAGCAAGACAAGCTGCCCGCAGCTGGGATCGAGCCTGGCATCATGAAGCGCGTTCCAAACGACTAAGCCACAGACAAACACTATAAACAGCAGTTAAATTTTCAATACAAGCACTGGAATGGGCACATTTCTAACTACAGTAAACCATAGTGATTGTAATCAATCTGAGGTGAATATGCACTTTTTCTAAAATACTTTTATGAGGGTATGTAATCTGTGCTAAGATAATATTCAAACTATTTCTGATTGTATGTATAGGGACTAGTGACATTTTTGATTTGCTGTGGAAGATAGTTCCACAGCTGAGCCCGGGAGTATGCTAACCCTGTTGTGTATAGGTCTATTCTAGGTTTAGGGATATGTAATATTTTTGAGGCACACATTATACCTTTAATTATTTTCAAACAAAGGCCATAGTAATGGACCCTGTAGGAAAAACATTTTGTGAATAAGTTTAGCTTAAAACAATTTGACATTCGTGTAGTGGTAGTAGCATATGTAGACCTTTATGTTTTGAAACCTTGTGTCCCATGATTATTACTTTTTAAGCAAATGGCACACATTTGAGGTGATGTGTGCAGCTTGATAACTGAAGCAGAACAGCCAAGTGATGCTAGCTACTTTTACCAGCAGCTATCAACCACAAGGGTAAAATATTGTATATTTTCTAGATGTTTGCAACACACAAATCCATAAAAACATTCTTAAAAAAGACTAAATGTTTCTGGGGCAGTCAAAAGAAGATTAATTGGATTTGCATTGTTTTTAACAGGAAAAATTGTTTTGGTTCATGAACAGAGTCAAAGAAGAAATTAGGCATGTGACCAGAGATATCACTGTGTACTGTAAATATACTTGAAAACTTGCCTATTCAGCCACAAGAAATGTATCATCGTATTGTCGTCGTATCGTAAAAATCAAACAAAAATTCCAGGCTTAGTCCTGTTTTAGCCACCTGAAGGCCTGCTTTATCAAGGACAGTTCCTTTGCTATCCTTATTTAAGTTCTGTTCCTTTGTGGTGAGCAATTACACCTGAGATTGTTCTTTTGTTACCCAAGTTCGAAGCGGGTTTTAAGGGTCGTGGTTCCTGTCTTTAGCTGGCTGGTCGTTGCACTGATCATCTGTGCGTGCACCGAGGCAGTAACACAAGAAACTACTATTATTCACTATTTATTACAACAGATTTTGCTAGGATTTCCTACCATGTACAATGTAAAAGTGGCCAGCATGATACTGACTATATCATCAACTGGTTTTTAAAAATATAATTTACCATCATATGCTTAAAGTGTCACTGGTGTAAACAAAAAGGATCCTGTACTTACTTGATATGTTTATCAACAAGGAAATTATTAACTACATAGTAACTTATTCGTTTTTTTTCTTCTTCTATGGTGTCCCATAAGTTTTCATACATAGGAAATCTGAGCATACGAAACCGAACGCAAAGAAGAAGAAGATGCATAGGAAAAAAATTTACATTTTACCAACATACAAGCATAACACAAGCTGTGGTTATTTGTGTTCAGTAGTCGATGACACAAAGCGAAATGTGTTCTCCAAACAATGGTAGTCACGTAGAGCATATTATATAAATAAAATTGGTTTTCATTAAGAAAATTTTAATTTTTTTCTTTTTGTGGAAAATTACAGGACACCCTGTCGAGCTGAAATCAATAGCCATCTGGTGTGCCTCCCTTCCTGTAGTCACTGACAGCATATATTAGACCAGCACGGATGTCAATGCCTTGCACAATCGACTGGCCAGCAGGATACTCTGTCGCATTATGTCCTAGTTTCCGCAGGTCTTCTATAACAGACTGAGGGAAGAAATATATTCATGCTGAATGTCACAACAGACCACACACAGAGAAACAAAGAAACCAAGAGCATCAATTTGTATTTTATCATCATCACCCTGCTCCCAGGTCGACCCAGCCTTGAGTGGGTACCGGGTGCAGTCCTGGGAAGTAAAGGTGGCCGGCGTGATGCTGACCACATCACCCATCTTGTGCCGATTGGTCTATAAAAATTTAGGTCTAGCCCTATACGCCTAAAGGAGTGGAAAAGGGCCCTTTACTTTGTTTTTAATCAACATCCTGAAACACTGTTTGTGGTTAGGTCACCAGCTGCTGTTGACTGTCTTATCAGCTCCCTCCACCATTTGATCATGTGAACCATTTTAAAGGGCAGCATCAACAAAATCGCATGTCGTTGTTCTAGCTCGCTGTCTGTCACTGCTGATTTTACACTAAAAAAAACAATGTTCTGTAGCGCCAAAGTACATGTGCAGTCACCTGCAAATAATATCATTACAGTTGCTAACAATGGCTGTTATACACATCTGTTAACAGTGGGTATCATACAGAGTTGCTAAGAGAGGATACATTACGACAACCACTCACAGCAATTTTATGTATGGCAAATCACTTGAGATACACAGATTAGGATGGAGCTCCTATGCTCGTAGGGCCCCCGGCAAGTTCCCATGCATTAAGACGGCCCTGCACTGGGTATAACAGAAATGCTTACACTGGGTATTAGAGTTTCTAACACTGGGCATTATACACATTTGCCAATACTGGGTATTACAGACTTACTAACACTGGGTATTACAGATTTACTAACACTGGGTATTACAGACTTGCTAACACTGGGTATTACAGACTTGCTAACACTGGGTATTATAGACTTGTCAATAATGGGTATTACAGACTTGTTAACACTGGGTATTACAAACTTCCTAACAGTGGGTAGTATTACAGACTTGCTAACACTGGGTATTACATACTTGCTAACACTGGGTATTACAGACTTGCTAACACTGGGTATTACAGACTTGCTAACACTGGGTATTACAGACTTGCTAACACTGGGTATAACAGACTTGCTAACACTGGGTAAACAGATTTGCTAATCATCGGAAAACACTTATTCCTTGAAGTTATGAAGGAAAATAATTGACTGGGGGTCGCCACAACATGATGGGAACCTTATTAAAGGGTCGCGGCATTAGGAAGGTTGAGAGCCACTGATGTAGCAGGTCCTTTGCAGACCGCTGCTCTCATCACGGTCTGCCTGAAAGAATCTGGTCTCTCCTTCCAGCTCTCCGGCCTTGTGTACTTTCATATTCAAGAAGTCACTTATATCCTGTGCTCATCTTCGTGTTGGTCAGCCCCTGCCACTCCTTCCTGGTACCATGCCTTCTGCTTTTATTTTTTTTCCATTCACCATGGTGCTTGATATGACCAAAATATTTCAGCTTCCAAGACAAGAAGATGTTTATTAGCCAATATTTCTTGATATTCAGATCGATTCAAATGTCAATATTTCTCCTCTTCTTTGTATAGCATTTCAGCTCAAAAGCCTCTATTTTCTTCCTTAAGGACTGGGAGATAGTCCACATCTGTATGCTGCTACAAGTAAGATTCATGCTCTCAAAATGTTAATTTTAATTTCCTCCTGGTGTTTAACCATAGACTTTTAATGCAGTTTAATCTTTGCACTGCTATGACCATCCTATTTTTGATTTCTGTCAATCAGTCTCCACTGGTATTTATTACAGAGCCTAGACAGTCAAAGTCTGTGACTTTTTCAATTTCTTCTTCAGTTATTGTTTTGTCTGTGAACTTTGTGTTCATTTTCTTTAATTCAAGAACAGGTTTTGATCTTCACTGTGTTTTTGAACAGATATGATTAAATTTTCTAATCCCTTTACACTGTTCAAAAGGAGGACTGTGTCATCTGCATAGAGAAGTTTCGGAGTAGGGTTGCCACAAATTATGAGCGGTTCATAACTGTCACAAGTTTGGTCATTTTTAACATTTCTCAATATGTTTTCTGCATCTTATCTAATACAGAAACTGAACAGACAAATACAGTAAAACACTCAAGACAAAACTCAACACTAACCCATGCTGTTGCTGTAGTAATCTTTGAGCCGCCTGCAGCCCCAACTATCATATTCACGCTGCCATCTGTGTTGACCAGAACTGCAGGACACATTAGTATTCTTCTAAGACATTTGTTCTCAAACCTGTCAATTTTTTTTTAAATCTAGAGCTACCATTGCTTTCCAATTCTCACATCCATAAGTTAGCACTTGAATCACACAAGAGTTAAAGATCTTAAGTTTTGTGTTTTTGCTGAGTGTCTTTGACTTCTAGATGTTTGACAGTTAAAGGCACTAGATGCCAGTGCAATTCTAGACGATATTTCTGGCACTGAATCCCCTATGTCATCTTACTCCCTAGGTAAGTAAAGGTGTTATTTTTTAAGAATGCTATTGTTTAGTTTGATGTCATCTGAACTATTTGGTAAAATCAATAATTTTTCTGTTTTTGCAGTGTTATTTGGAGACAAAATTGTCCTTACAATTTTTGGAGAAGGTCTGTTTTCTTCTGGACATCTGGGTGTGCTGAACTCAGAAACACAATGTCACCAGCAAAGTCAAGGTCTTCTAGAATTTCGTCAACACAGGTAAGTGCTGCTTTAACTCATATCTGCAACATTGTTATTTGCGAGATGAGGCTGACTGAATGGTAAAGGATGCTAGGCTCTTATTTTGGAGGCCCAGGTTCAAATTCTCAGTAAGGTCATGGCTTTGTTTGTTTTGTGGGGGAAGTAAAATCTTAACATGCACAATCCATGGCAAGTGCACCAGCCACGTGACCCTAAATCTTCAGACTCAAAAATCCCCCTGGATAAACTGCCAAAGTAGTATATAGAAACAGTCATGGACATTTTCAAAACTGTAATTTGAAACTAGTGAAATGTGCCACAGCAATTCAAGTTGAGGTAGTAAAGTTAAAAAAGAAAACAAATAATTTGTTTACAGGATGAAGCGTAAAAGATATATGGTGCTAACCCAACTTATTTCCCGATATCATCATTTCTAATATTATCTATTCTAGTTACTTTTAGGATTTGTCATAGACATTTCCTTTGTTAGTTGATTTGTTTCTTGTTTCTTGTGTTGTTAATGTCCACTTCTGGCACTGGTAACCCTCTTCTCTTTTGTCCTGGTTGTTCGCCCATCTGGACTCTGGCTCTGTGCCAGGGCCAGAGATTTGTGTGTACATCCACTATACTGGCTTATTTTTGTGCAGCTGGTTGTTTCTTGCCCCTCAGGCAGAGGTACTCCGACTTCGAAGGAAGCCCCCAGTTAGTCAACTCCTACGACAAGCTTTTTTTTTTCTCCAGGGAGGCAGTGGGTTATACTTGTCTTCCTCACAAAGACACCCTGAAACCTACAAGGGGAAGTAACCAAGTGTTAGTAAAAAATGCTGTTTAGAATTATTATGTTTCTTGGTTGTTTAAAAAATACTATAATGTTCTTGCTGTCTTCAATCACTTGTTTTATATTACCCAAATGGTATGTGAATTATTATTTTACTACTTCTGCCCCCTATTGTCTAGGCTGAACACTTTCAGACTAAAGTGTTTAATACTTTTAGGCTCAACTTCTTAGGACAGATGGGGTTGAAGAAATAACTGCTTGGGATCAAAAGAAACTAAACTCGCAACAACCCCAGGACATCTCACCTGCCATTGATAGTGCTCGTCACGGATACTGCATTCCCCTGTTGGTCAACCACAGACAAGTGGGATGTTCCTGTTGTGTCCCGATCATAGAATGTTGGTCCATAATATTCATAACCATGAGTGGCATTGTCTGTGATCAGCGTACGTATGCTATCTGCATAAGCTTTAGATGTCAGATTACGCACTAGCTGTTTAAAAAAAAAAAGGTACAACACATATACATTAGTGACTCTACGTATAATCTGCCCAGCAAGGTAAATAATATACACATTAAAGAATGGTCACACTAGCCACATAATGGTACATATTTATCATCATCAAATGATGATCTGCTTCATCATCATCAAGTGCCTTGCCCGCTGTTGTAGGCGTTTATGCATCTCCACAGTGTTTGGTGTTCTGAATCAATTCTAGTGATGATATTCCTCCATGCCACTGTCTTAAGCCATCCACCATCATGTCTCTTGGTCTGCCTCTTCTACCAGTGATCTTTCCAGTTGTCACCGATATTTTCCAATTCTCCTTTTCTCATCACATGACCAATGAACTTTGTCTCCTTTTAATTGTTGTATAAAAAGTTCTATTTTCATTAACCATTTCCAGGCAAATCATCTGGTGTTATTTTTTCTGTTTCATTTTTATTAGACTGTTATACTTTTTTTCACTGTGTGTAGTTTAGATTTTCTTGCATAGTCTGTTAATATAAATTTTGCATTTTAATTCTTAGTGTTCCACCTTATGTGCGACCCTACACACAGAGATTTTTAGTGTTTTATTCTACATAAATTGATTCACAGGTTCTTTGTCTTACAATGTTTATATTTCCACACTCTTTATATTTCCACCGATCTCTTATGTATTTTTCCATATCCAATCCTGCCTTTTTCCTGTCTTTTTACAATGTAAGATAAAACAACATATGTGAGGATGTGTGAATTTGGACTTGAGTAGAAGTATGGAAAAGAGGGGTATATGAGACAAAGAATATGACATGCTTACAACTAATATGCTTCTAAACAACCAAACAAATCAGCATCTACACCATATGCCATTTTGCTGCGAGTTTGCCCAGAGCGCTACAATTTCAAATTTTCAATCAGCCAAGTCACAATGTTTTCACATAACTATCCACTCTGACATCTGAAAATATGAATGAAAAAGGCTGTCATTGGTTCCCCAGTGTCAAGACAAAGTATAATTCTGGTAACAGTGCAACAAACATTAACATACAAGATGTTTAAACAATACTATGATGGCCACACACACACACACAACAATTGGGCAGGAAAAAGCACACTAAGGTAGGTAGGTAGGTAAGTTGTACCCCACAAGGATATCACAAAAGCGATAAACAACCCGTGACACAAAGTGCCACCATGTGGATGAGGATCACCCATGGAGATGTCCCGGAAACCCCGTTCAGCCGTTAGGCCATATTAAGGGCCCTGGCAATGGCCGAGGTGGGGTTTTAAAAAACCCAAAAAATTGCATCCCATAAGGGTTCGACTTGTGCGGTTACAAACACACCAATATCTTCAGACTGAGATCAAGATCCTGTGGATTTTTAAACAAAGGAGGACGCTTTACTTGAATATCTCAATGATACTGCCACTTGCATGTATGTAGCACTCAAGCAAACATGCATATGCTACAAAACCAGCCACATTTTTATCACACAGAGAATAGAAATCTGCTTTCATACAGGAAAATGACAAATAAAAAAAAAAAAGATAACCATTAGAAGCATTATTCATAACATAAGTCTGAACAGAAACATTAATACTGTTTACTGAAGACAGATTTTTTTCATACAAACAGTAACTCGGTAAACCTCACAAACACAATATTATAGACTTTTAAACATGTTTTGAAATAAACCTCATAGTCAACATGTGTGTTATTGAACACAAAGAACTGGAAAGAAAATTTCAATTGTCCAGTTCACGAATTTATACTGGTCAGTAGTAAATTTAAAAAAACCTGTGCTCGTCACATGCCAAAAGCGCATGTTGCGTTCCTTGGGATTCAAAGAGATATTTTATAAGAATGTAAATGGCAGTGTAACCCAATAGAGAAACTCTAGATAACAAACAAGGAGAACAATTGAGAACCTTGTAAATGATCCATGCCAGAAAAGAAGCAATAGCTTATGCCAACCGCTTTAACAAAATGAACAAACCAGCAATTTACAACAGTTACAGACTGTTTTATTTGGATTTTTGTTTGCAGCCACATGTACGTACACAAAATGGGCGAATCAGCCATGTTTACAAGTGGACTGGAACCTGAGACTGTACCAAATACAGCATATCAAGGCAAAACTTTTGGCCAAGAGAAACATCGGTGCAAGCCAAACTTTACTGGTCGCTGATTGAATTACAAAAGACAGTGAAGTTCATACTAGAGACAACATTGCAGATATAGATAATCTATATCAAGCGAATGAAAGAAGAAGAAGTTCTAAATTTAATCTTTGAATTTGTTAATTCATGTGTTTCAAGATAAGTTACCTCTGTGACATTCTCAAATTTCTCATCTCCTAAATCCGTTCGCTTGGCATAAGCAAATTTAAAAGCTTCAACAATCCTGTGGTAAGTCAGTGTTGTAAAGGTGTCTGTTTCCAGATCTCCTGCAGTAAAATTATAGCCTGCAAAAGAAATCTGGCTATTATCATTCACATGGATACACAAGTTCAAGTGACAGGAAGTCACAGCATAGATAATCAAACCTAGCTCAACCCTTTCAGGAACAAAAATTAGGATCTGTGAATTCTTTTAAAACAAAAATATTTACCTATTTTAAAATAAGACAACTTAAAAAACAGACCAACAATATACTTTTTAACATTACTTATATTTAGTAGAATCCCCAAAGTTGACCACTTCTCTATTCCGACCTCATATTTTACTGATTGGCTGGTCACCTCCTATTCACAATGGAAGACTACCTGTATATGTTGACAATCCCTGTAAGTTGTATGTTGACCGGTTGAATTAGGACTTAGACCAGCAATTATCCATCTATAATTTGATTAGCTGGTATTAAACCAGCAGTACGTATGCATATGTTCTAGCAATTTAAAAAAGTGCACTGGTCAAACATACTTCGTTTATCTCAAAGAATAGAATATCTGGTCTCTACAAAATGTCCTCATTTGCCTACTGGCTGTGAAAATATATACATGCAAGTACAGACCACCAGTGAGACATAGTACTTCACAACTCTGCAGACCCTTATTGAATCACCATTGCCACACATTAAAAATCCCCAAAAAGCCGTTATTATGGTTTCATCACACTGGCCATTCCCAAGAAGGTCTATCTGTTTATTGTTTGGCGCTGTTTAGGTAGGCAGCTGGAAATCATTACGTTTAACCAGCATTCCCAAAGGAGGACCTTTAGGTTATAATTGTGACTAGGTTATGTGCACCAGATTAAATGGATTAGCACTGCATGCCACCAACAGCCCTGAAAAAGACTCCTGCAGTGTTGATGTCTTCAAAGGAGACCCAAATACTGTCCCAGATGGCGACGAAGTCGTCTACTGGGGCGCCACTGGCCGACTGGGTCACCAAAGTGCACTGTTTATGATTGTACTGTATTTATATGGGCTTGACACAATCATAATTTATATTAATAAAAAAAATTGCAACTAGGAATTGAGGTGTGTCAATCATGATTATCTGTACTGTGTTGGGGTTATAGATACTGAAACACAAGATCAATCCCAGCCTTCACCAGGGCCTGAACCCAAGACCTCAAGCATTCGAGGTGGACGCTATGCCTCAAGACCATGCAGCCGCCATGGGAAGGACATGGGGAGAGCTGCATGCGACAGCGAGGGATAGAACGACTTGGCTTAAGTTGGGTGAGGGCCTATGCTCCATTGGGGGTTAGAAAGGCAGGAGAAGAAGAAGACCCACCCTGAACAGCAGGTTGGTGAATTACTTAGTTTATCTGTCAGCATACTGTTGACAGTGTTGGAGCACATGCTCGGCATTTTCGGGTGCCACACTTCAGGGATACATCTCCTGTTTCCTACACCGACTGTTAAGGGTGCCTAAAAATAACTGTTTTATGAGTTACCTTCAGAACAACCCTTAATTCCCTGGGACATCCGCATTCAGGGGCAGAAGGGTTAAAGATGTCATCTATGGACATTTTGCAAAGTTAAGATTTTAAGAATTAATGAAAAAACATTATTTGGGAGCTGCAGAGATGTGGTTTTATAGACCAATGATGAGAATACCCTGGACAGATAAAAAGAGTGATTAGGTTGTCTTGAAAGAAACTGACTCACTAAGAGAATTTATAACCCACATTAGAATGAGACAATCCTTGGTCTCGTCATGAGAAGGAGAAAACTGGAGTACATCATGACAGTTGGAAAGTTGGAAAAGGGAGGGGGGGGGCAGAGAGAAAAGATGCTGGACAGTCTGACATCACTGCATGGAGGAGATTCTGTGTAACAGTTGACTGAAAGTACATGAGACAGGAGGTTGTGGATAGACATGACTACCAACATCAAACGGTGTGGACTTAAGAAAGAAGAAAGATTAGTAGCAATTAGTAGCAATGTCACTAGTTTCATGCACAGACACATTACTGTCTGACATAGTTGTGGCGTTCTCAGTCCTGGAGGGATCAATATACAACAGACCTTTATTTAATTTAGTCTCATTATTGATGTAATTAATTTGACTTGTTAATATTTCTCCCCTTTTTTCATACCCCTTCTTATTTATTTCCTTTCTTTAACACAGTCCTTTACATACAGCAATAAGAAAAACAAGCATTGTTCTTTGGTCATGTCATGAGGGGTGGAGGCTATGGAGAATGTTGTAACGACTTGGAAGATCGATGGTAGAAGAGGGAGAGGCAGACCAAGAGAGATGATGACGGATGGACTGCGACGGTGGCTTTGAGGGATATCATCAGTGGAACTGATACAGAGAACAAGGGACAGAGATCTGTGGGAATGCCTATGCTAGTTGGAAGGGCAGTGATGATCATGATGATGATGATAAACACAGCCCTTTAAATCCATATTTGTTCCATATTATGTATTTCTTGGTTTCATGGTGACCTTTTTTCATTTTTAGAACATCTGTTGTCAGTTGAGTTTACCAGCAGTCTGTGTTATTTAGAACTCTGCTGATAAAAACATTGGTCCAAATGTTCGGTTGTATTCGTGCACATCTTTTCCATTTCCTTTGTCGAGCTTTCTGGTTGCATTTTATGTTGTACTTAACACTACTGGAAGGACAGTCAAATAAAATGACGAAGCAGTTTTTTTTCTTTTCTTTTTGCAGTTTCAGGATTAATAAAAAAAATTTTAATGTCAAGAAAAGCTCACCATCCAAAATATTTAGGATAAATGACAGTACAGCCCCACTGGCTGGGGGTGGTGGCGACACAAGCTTGATCCCTCCATTGAGAACTATCTCTAGTGGCTTCTTCTCCCAGGCTTCATAGTTTTGAAGGTCAAGTCTGGTGATGATTGAACCTGCAGTATTTTAAAAAACCAAAAGAAATTTATGAAACAAAATTTATTTGTCAGTTTCAGCGTGTCAAGGTCAAACTTTTTTCTACAACCATTTTTTAAAAAGGGGTACCAGATAAAGTCATGTGATGGTTGACCACACCACCCACTGAGTGGCTTTTGGTCTACAAAATATAGGTCTAGCCCTATTTGCCCAATACGCCTGAGAGAGTGAAAAAGGGACCTTTACTTTACTTTTACAAAGTCAATGTTGATATACAAATAACACAATCATCATGAGCTATGCTAATAAGCCATCACCAAAATCACAGATCAGGTCAGCGTTGTTGTCCTACATAACCCATGAGGCCAATCCCTCTAGGTATATTTCATATGCATGCATGTATGTATGTATGTATGTATGTATGTATGTATGTATGTATGTATGTATGTATGTATGTATGTATGTATGTATGCATGCATGTATGTAGGTATGTATGCATGTATGTAGGTATGTATGTATGTATGTATGCATGTAGGTATGTATGTATGTATGTATGTATGTATGTATGTATGTATGTATGTATGTATGTATGTATGTATGTATGTATGTATGTATGTATGTATGTATGTATGTATGTATGTATGTATGTGTGAGTGTGTATGTATGTATGTATGTATGCAGGGCTGCAATAGCGCTGTCGATAAGAGGCTCGCTTTAAAATCCAGCTGTGACTCGCTGCAGCCCACGGCCAGTGTTTGTAGCTACAGAGTTAAGTGCAGATGGCGACACAGGCGGACAATTCTATCAGCTGTCCGTACTGGTGGCAGAGCACTTATGGTTTATAACCGTGTGCAATGGCGCTGGTTCACATCTCCAGACTTTACCTTTTATTTTTATGTATGTATGTATGTATGTTATTCTGTATGTGTGTGTGTATATATATATATATATATATATATATATATATATATATATATATATATATATATATATATATATATATATATATATATATATATATATATATATATATATATATATATATATATATATATATATATATATATATATATCAGTGTGTGTATTCATCATCCATGCCTTTGTGTTTCTTTTTAATATTCACATTTTGTATATCCCTATTTGAAAATAACATGATTAACTCTTTGAGTCCCAGGGGGTTTAGCATCACAGGCCCAAGGGGTAGTCAAGAGAGATGTAAAATCGGTGCATCATGTATTCACTGGGCCTCTAGGTAGGAATCTATGAACGTATGATGCGTTCCTTGGGACAAAGAGGTAATAGATACAATACAACTGCTGTGAGGAAGGTGAGTGGTTGGAAGGGCTTTAGTGAAATATGTCTGCATGATCAATGACTGACCCTTTGAATACTAAGGTAATCATTCTTTGTCTTTCTTTTGCTCTTTTATAGGCCCACTACTTCCTAACAAACATGTCATGAAGATAACTAATTTGGAGTTTGCCTAATCTGTTGGATTGAAAAGCACACATTCACAGTCTAGATGTAAACTACATAACAAAGTGACTGCCACCCTTTTAACGTCAAACATAGAAGAGAAAGATATGCATGACAAACTTTATGAGAAAAGGCAAGATCAGACACAATGATACCAGTAAGCTAATAAAGTCAGCACTAGTGTTTACTACTATCATTATGTCCTATGCCAGTGAGCATGTTCACATCTCTACATTAGTTAGTTTAGTTAGTTAATGAGTTAGTTAGCTGGGTTATCATCATTGCACTCCAGACATGTCCACAGGTGCTGCTCAGATCCCCCCTCAGTATGAACCCCAGCGTCCAGTGGCTAATAGTACCAGTTACATGTTGATTTACAAGTCCTCTGATATGTCTGGTGATATGGATTCACCGCCTCCAAATGTTTCTACACTGATCTTGGTTTCAGGTATTCAGTATCACTACTCTTCGTAATATTCCTCTATGCCACCAACTTCTTCATCTCTATCATTCTGCTGTGTCTAAGGGTACGCAGGTGTTGTTGGTAATGAAAGAACCAAAAGATCAGCTGGCTCTGCCTTAACTGCAGATGATAGGCCTGTGGTTCACCCTGACAAGGTTGATGCCCTTAAAGAGGACGATCATAGGATTTTCGGAGCAGCATGTCCACACCATAGCTAAGAATGCGTGAACTGGGAGTCAATCCTCAGCACAACCAGGCCCAGCAGCCACACCAGTGTAGCAGGGATAATGATGTATTTATTGAAGGGGAGATCTGAGGACACATGGAAATGTCTAGAGTGCCTTGAAGATAGCCCACCTCATAAATCTGGTTTGGTGTTTAGATATCAAACAGGGCTGACAATCAATATCTCCACTATCTTCAATGGCTACTGATGAAAGAAAGAAGACATTGGGAATTTTCTGAGTGTCATGATGTCAATTCTAGATTCATTCATTCTCCCATTCTGTTCTATCCTTTGGAGTTGTTTTTAAATATCGATGGAATCCAGTCCAGCACCTCTGTCCTCAGCACTCTATTAATATCCTACCCCAGATGATATCAGAGGACAATCCAACATTTTCTTAAGGGTGGTAAGACTGGGTTTCCCAGCTTTCTGAAGCTTTTTACTACCCCACATCTAGAACTCGTCCTAACCCCAACCTACCTACGTCCCATGAGAGAGTGCAGCCTAGGTCCTACTACTGCATGCAGTCTATCTGCCACCCCCTGAAATATTAGACAGCCCCGTGACATGTGGATTTTCCCTGTTTGGGGTAGGATATTAATAAAGCACCCTGTCCTCTTTCAGCAATGTGCACCTTAGTTTCCCTTAGATGTCCTCATTTCCTCAATTAATTTGTTACCATCTTTATCTAGAAATGAGTGTTTCACTTGAATATAAGGTTATAAGTAATTCATCACCACCAGTTCAAGTTGTACAATAGTAAACATCAATGGCTGACAAAGTTCTAATGACAGCAACAACAACTATATTATTTACAAATTTAAACCACTATTTACTGAAGAATCTCTACAACAAACCGATTTCTTTCAAATCCTGCAATATGCTGTCAGCCAGTGAACCACTGTAAAATGCATCAGAGCCATTATCAGAGATAATTTTCAGTGTAACTGCAAGTTGTGGCCTCGTCATAGTCTCCCCTTCTTTGAAAATGTATCCAGTTTTTGGATTTACAAACACAGCTCTAATTGGGAAGGAAAAACAATTACATGATTTTAAAAAATCTCTGGTTATGAATTTAAATAATGCACACACAAACAATATATCCAGTATCTCACGTTCCCGGGTATGCCTGGTATTTTGTAATGTTGATTTCTAAATCAGTAAACCTGGTTAACCCAGATAATATATCTATATGTAAGACAAAAGTGTTACTGCTTGGTATCCATTAATAACATATTTATTTTAGCAGTCTGCAAGTGCATCATCATCATCCTCAGCATTGTCCTATTGTGCTATTACATCGCATACAGGACTCAAAGCCTATTTTTTTCTTTCCGATCTATCCTGAACAATCGATGAAATACCATGGATGGTAGCTTTGGCCTCTCTCACGAACGTTCATTTTTAGGTTTTTCATGATTAATGATATTGCCAGAAACTGTGCAGGTTGGGATTTTATTTTTGTCTCGACAGAAGAAAAACCCATAAACTTACCAAAGATCTAACCATTCAGCATGGCTTCATTCTGTATGTGTTCAAGTTTCATCAGCTGACTCGTTGATAGGGTTAGCATTCCAAGTCCATAATCTATCACTGATAGGATCACATGCTGGAACATTGTGGACAGCATTTTTTGTTCCATGTGCATTGCTGCCATAATCTTGGGAGCATTGAGTCCTTTTGGCATTTCAGCCAGCCTGCTGCTTAATTCAAAGAACACTCCCACTAAAATCAAACTGGCAATCAATCATGCATGTACCACCTTCTCTCTCACACACACATACACACACACACACACAAAAGATTGGCCATAAAGGATCTCCAGTAGACTCTGCCTCTATCTTGGTTGAACATTCTCTTTCAGTGCTGTTTTTCTATCTTTAGATGTTGTATCCCTATCCACCTCTTGCTCTCTTGCCTTTGACCTTTTCCTTTGTTACAGTGTTTACATGAGTGTTATATCTTGTATAGTGGCGAACACATTTCATTTGTCTGTCTCTTATTTCTTTTCTTCAGCAATGTTCTTCTCATTGCTAGTCAAATTAGAACCCCTGTTCTTAATTGTTTTTGTTTTCAAGAAAAATGAGCCATTCTTCTGTATATGCACAACTCCAGAACTCAACCCGATTTTCTAGTTTCAGATTTACAATTATAAAGTAAGTAAAGGACCTTTTTCCACACTTTTCAGGCTTTTTTTGTTATATAGGGCCAGACCTATATTTTATAGACCAACGGTACAAGTTGGGGTGATGTGGTCAGCATCATGCCAGCAGCCTTTACTTCCCAGGACTGCACCCGGTACCCACTCAAGGCTGGGTCGACCTGGGAGTCAAGGTCATTTTTTTGTTTTTTAAAGTCTGGCCCCACCAGGGAGCAAACCCACGATCTTCTGACTCGCAGGCGAGCTTCTAGCCGCTACGCCACGGCGACTACCATTTACAATATATGTATATTAAAAATTACATTCTGTCTCAAGCTTACTTCAATGAAGGCTCTTCTAACACCGTCTTTTCATCAGATAACAGAGCATCATGGAGTGACTTCGGTACAGGAAATCCCTGCTGTGACATATTTATTGCTGGTTCAAACAAATCTTTCCACGGAAGACTGCCATATTTCTGGTGAGCAAGCCAGTATCCTTTGATTTCACCAGGGACACCAATACTCAGAGGACCTGTAAGTCAAGGTAACACATATCCAAACATGTAAAATTAAGTAAACAAACTAATACAGAGCAGAAAGCAAAGTCACACATTGATCATGACAGACTCAGTTTGCATGTTTAAGAAGATCCGAACTGGCAAACTCCAACTGCAACCAGAAGTCCCACATTCATACACTGTGTCATTGCAGGGTCTCTCCCATGTTGCGGGGGTGTTATGCATTCTGTACTGTCAATGTTTTAACTGTTCTCTCTTATCTCGTCTTGTCACCACTCACTTATAGCTTTGCTATCTGGGCGACGGTTGGGGAACATGGAAACTGCAGTGTTTTTCTATTCATACATTCTTTGCCAGTGCCTTCTCTGTCTCGGGGGGAAGCCACCACCAACAAACATTTAAATACAAAAACATTCCAGTTTCAATGCTCACGAATCGTCGCGCCTGCAGCGCTCCTCCTGCAGTACTTCTTATTTGTACACAGGCGCCTGTGGTGCCTTAAAGAGACTCATGACAACACAACCTCCCACAAATATTATATATGCCAAGTGAACGCGGAACCAAGCTATATCATAACACCCCCCGCAACATAGGAGAGGCCCTGCGACGCGATGAGGCATGAATGGGAAGAAAAGTCACTCTCTTTCTGTGGCAGAAAACATTACTTTAACCCAAGCATGTTGTGAGATCTGACTAATAAGGGATGCTACCTTCGAAGTTAGACTGCATCTGCCTGAAAGGTGAGGAACCAACAGTCTGCATACAAACAAGCCAGATTTGTAAAACTGGTGTGCATGCAAAACTTTGGTTCTGAAACAAATTTAAAGCCTAGAAGTGGTTGAACAAGCAGAACTTTTCACAAGAGTTTACAGCCAATAAACGCAAAAAAAAAAAGAAGAAGAGGAGGAAGAGGAGGAGGAGGAGGAAGAGGATGAGTAAGAAGAAGAGGAGGAGGAGGAGAAGTTGGAGGAAGAGGAGAAGGAAAAGAAGAAGATGAAAAAAAAACTTTCTTTTTCTCCTGTCTTTCATCTACCAATCGAATAAAGACCCTCCACCAGCTCACATCAAACTCTTTTAACTACACGAAGCTATATACTTTCAATCTATATAAGGGAGGAGCGGGGGAGGGGAGATGCAATGGCTGCCTCAGGAATGAGGTATCTGAGAAAGATGGTCCAAGTGACAAACAGAGAGAATGTTCGCAACCAGACAATACATCATGATCTTTTTCTTCTTCTTCCCGTTCAGTGGCTGTAAACTCTGGCAGAAAGTTCTGGGTGTTCATCCACTACTTGACTTTAGTCTTGTTCCAGAGCCTGAGTGTTGTATGCACATCCATTTCACATATCTGGCTTATTTATATGCAGACTCTTGGCTCCCTGCCTATCAGACAGATGTACTTCGATGTCAAAAGATGTCCCCAAGTAGTTGACTCCTACTAGACGATTGTTGAGGAGGGAGTGGGACTATTCTTGTTTTCCTCCCAATGGGGCCCCAGAACCCCCATGGAGAGACAAGATCTTGAAATCAGGCCTGACAAACTAGAGTGCATCAGTCACAGTTACGATGGCTGGGACTTGTAAGTAGAATGGGACAGAATCGGCCATGGCAAGCATAGGAGGTCAAGAACCAGGGAATCATACCTCCAGGATAACCCAGCGTTCACTGGGAAGACAACATCCAACAGTCTCTAACCGAAAAATGACTGAAATGGAACAAAGCCAAAAAGAAAACTGCTGACAGAGAGGGCAAAACTCTACACTCCAGGGTAGAAGAGGATTGACTAAATAAGTAAAAGTAGGATAAGGTGTCTTGAACCTGCTTAAAAATGATACTGATAAATGCAAAAAGAGAAGTGAATATGAGAGGGCAAAAGTGGTTCATTTATCAACTGTCTGTTGATGTTAGCTGACATGATATACTTTCATCAACGCGTTGTGACCCATTAAATTGTTACATTAAGCCACGCTGTCCCAGTTCTTACACTAACCCTTTCTGTCCCCAGATGGTTATTAATTTCAAACCTCAGACCAATGTTTAGTAAAAGCTTCCTAGAAAAGAACAAATGAACTATTTCAGTACCACAGAGGTGTTAAATCTAGCTCATTATACTTTTGTAAGTTGTTACTTCGCCTGACAAATGTTTGAGGTTGAGCAGTTGTATACAAGGGGAAGACAATAAAAAAGTCATAAATGGTTTTGAGATGGCAGGAAAATGTAGTTAGTGGTTTCTAAAGATGTCATTAGGTGACAGCTACATTGGACTTTATGTCTCTGTTCGTTAGGTGGCGCTAGGTGTTGCATGCGCATTCGCAACATAGAAACAAAATGCTGAATGTACTTACAGAGTGTACCCTCAAAGAACAACGTGCATTTTTTGGGGGGACAAAAAAACTGCCTGCTAATGACATTCATAAGGAAATGCTTCCTGTTTATGCTGACAAATGTTTATCCCATAGAGCGGTGCACAGCAGGGTAAAAAAAAAATTTATCAAAGACGCTCTAAAATTGTTGATAAAGTCCGATCTAGTCGTCCTATTAGAAAACAGAACACGTAGTTCTATTTAGTATTTTTGGGTGGACTGACAAAACAATGGGATAAGTGCATTAATGTTGGTGAAAATTATGCTGAAAAATAAAGGGACAGTGCATGTGTAAAAATAAATGGTTTTCAAGTTGTTATCGTCTTTAGTCATAGTTAAACAACCATTTGTGACTTACTTATTGACTTCCCCATGTATCTTGCAGTCCCATAATACATGTGATTGCCTCTTTTCCATGAATATCTTCCAGCAGGTAATGTGCTCTTGTGTTTGTCACATTTGGTTTAGATAATACTATTGCCTTCTGTCCTGTCAACCATTTCTCATTCAGAAGTTCATCCACGGCATGATGTCAGCTGGGAGTCACCAGGGCGGAGCTGCTAGATGCTCGCCACAGATCAGAAGGTCCTGGTATCGCTCCCTGGTGGAGCTGGACTTTAAAAAAATGACTTTGGCTTCCAGGTGCAGTCCTGGGAAGTAAAGGCGGCTGGCGTGATGCTGATCACATTACCCACCTTGTGCCGATTGGTTTATAAAATATAGGTCAAGCCAAATATGCCCTATATGCTTATAGGTGTGGAAAAGGGTCCTTTACTTTACTTACTTTTGTTGTTTTTTGTTTTTACTATGATGTCAGCTAATCTAAAAACCTTTCCTGGTCTCTTACTGCATTCTCCTTTCCTCCACATTTCCCAATGTTGTGACATAATTGAATTTAATTCTCACTAAGTTTCCAAGGAACTGCATTTTAATTGTCTCTTATCATGAAGTTCCCAAAGAACTGCATTCTAATTTCTCCCTTATCATGAAGTTCCCAAAGAACTGCATTCTAATTGTCCCTTATCATGAAGTTCCCAAAGAACTGCATTCTAATTTCTCCCTTATCATGAAGTTTCCAAAGAACAGCATTCTAATTTTCCTTCTCATAAAGTTCCCAAAGAATTGCAAACAACAAATTTACAATTCTGTATTGGCAAGTGTGTCATGCAAAGCTGCAAACATTTCTATATCTTTGTTGAGAGCTGTGCTGTGGAGAGTTGCAGATAATGAATTTACTATTTTGTGTTGACAAGTATGCTTTATAGCAGTGTTTCGAAAAATATGCACCGCGACATCTTCACAGGTGCACCTCGAAATATTTGAAGATACACAAGTTTCATTTGTTTTGATGTATTACATACGAATATTCATACTTTTACTTATGTTAGGGCACCGTTGAAAAAATTTAATTGAAAAAAGCGCTGAGACTAAGACAAGTTTGGGAAACACTGCTTTAGAGAATTGCAAATATCTTGTAGAAACAACTTACTTGTTGTAAATTGTCATAAAAAATCCTCCTCCTATCCCCATGGACTGTGCTGAGGTTAGACCGCTGCACAGCAATGTGGCAATAGCTGCATCCACAGCATTACCACCTTTTAACAGAATGTTCCTAGCAATAACAGAAAGTAAGAAGACACACAGATGTATAAACAACATAAACATCAGTCTTAACATTTGCGACCATGAAATGACAAGATTAGAAACAAAAACTATCTTATGCAGAAATCAACTGTTTAATTCAAGTAGGTATCACACTGGTCTAGAAGTTTTTGAGTCAAACGTTAGGCCTTTATATATTCTGTGGCAGAGGCTAGACACTAAAAAAAAATTACCTTGGCTCCCAGATAGACCCAGCCATAAATGGGTACCAGGTAAAGTCCAAAGGAAATAAAGGCGGCCGGCATAATGTTGACCACATGACCCAACTGGTCTATAAAAAAAAAGTCTAACCCCATAGGCTCAACATGCCTACACAGATGGGGGTGGGAGCCCGGTTGGGAGTGGGGTAAGGGCAGTGGGGAGAGACTAGCTCCTTTACTTGACACCTTTGCTGGTGATTGCTTTAAAAATATACGGGTCAAGCACCATACGCCAGATGGGCTACATTTTTTTTAAACTTTAAAAAAAAAAAGTAATAATAATATATTTTATGATGAAGAAGAATAACAACAAGTACAAGAACAAGAAGATGAGGAAATAGAATAGGAAGATGAGGAAGAAGGACAAGAAGTCGAGAGAGAGAGAGAAAAAAGAAAAAGAAACAACAACTGCAGCAACAGCAATGACAACAAGAGCTGGTAGCTATAGAAGGTGTCCTTCTAGCCCTCATAAGTTAACTAGATAGTCATTCTTCACTGCCGAGAATCTTAACACAAAAATATTCCAACAAAAGAAACTGACTTTCCCACTTCTGAGCACAGAGTTGAATCAGCAGCAACAGCAGCATTTTTGAAGACTGCACTCACATCCTCAGATGGTTCAGATGACCCATGCTCCTTGGCAACAAACACAATGCCAACAATTAAACTTGCAGCCAACAGCAAGGTGATGCCCGCTGCCAAGATAAAGTGGGACCTAGGTAAAGAATAGATTCATCTTATAAGATGTAGAGGTAAATGTAAAAGTTAGTTCACTGGCAGATATTGTCATTGGTATTAAGCTATTATGATCAATATTAGTTAGTTAATCGACTGAGTCTCCTTACTGCACATCTGACAAGTCCATAAGCACTTGGATCTCATCTTCAGTATCTCCCTCAGCATGTGAAAACTGATGACATCAGTTCTGTTTTGGTTCACTATTCTTCTTTAGCTATTGTTTTCCTACCTGGCAACACCTCTTTTCACATGAAGTTCTTGTAGTCTTGATAGTCTTGACAAGGTTGCTGATTCTCACTCTTCTACTGAATGAGCTACTTGTCCTGCCTCCTCAAGAGCATTAAGAACATCAGCTGGGTCCACTATGATCAATGTTCCTGCACACCGGACATTCAAGTGCTTTTTCAGTCTTCTGATGAAGCAGTCATCCCAAGAAACCTCAGATGACTGTCCTGATAAGAAGCCGGAATATCTTCTGTCTTGTCCTTGAAGATGGCATACAAGTGCTTCACTAAGCTTTACTTGCAGGTCAAGTGGTCTGGACAGCATTAGAGATTCATAGTTTTTCCACTAGGTTAGTCTGTATAGTGCTGATAATATAAGATCTGTCCATGCTGCTGCACATCTGTATTAGTGCCTTCCTTGTCAGGTGGTCTGCTCGTTTATTACCTTTTACACCAGCATGGCCAGGTGTGCAGAGCTAGAAAGAGTGTTCACCTATTCAGAGGTACACCCGATGTATAGGAAGTCAACTGGCATAGGAGTAGAACTATTAACATGGGATGCTGATATTTAAGTAGAGAATCTGAACATCTATGAACATGTTCAGAGTGCCATGAAGATAACACAACTCACAACTCCTATCAGTGAAGTGTGGGTTCCACTTACAAACTGTATGAAATGACTGACATCATAAATCAAAAAGTGATTCAAGATACACTGATAAAGCAATACAGAAAAAAAGGATATATGATATTATCTGTATTATTTGTGAGTTACAGCCCCCTCCCCTCAGTGATTACAGATTTTGGCACTAGAGGTAGAGATTTTGGCACAGAGATAGATGATGTTTTAGTGACATTTCCTTGAAGTAATATTTTGTTTGTTTTACTTTGCCTATAAGTATTTTAATGTTTGGAAACAGTATTATATTATCAGTTGCTATATGAAAAACAACATAAAGCAGTTAGTTACTGTAAAAAGCTGTACACATACGTATCAGTTGTAATAAGGAACTCACCCCAATATAGTTTTGTGGAAAGTTAAATACATCTTGGGAGGTTAAACCCCATAGATCTAGGGTTGAAATCCTTATCAGTGCAGATTTCTCTTTAAACTGACTTTGGCTAAAAATGGGGTATCAGGTAATGTCCTGGGTGGAAAAAATGGCCAGCCTAATATTAACATCTCGCTTCGAGGGCTGATTAGTCCATAAAAATACAGGTCTAGCAGTATATGTATGATGCACTTACGGTGTGAAAAAGCTCCTTCCAAAGATAAATTTATCAGTAAAAGTAAAGTAGCAAAGGACATTTTCCACACCTTTATGCATAAAGGGCATACAGGGAAAGACCTATATTTTATAGACCAATTGGCACAAGGTGGGTGATGTGGTCAGCATTAAGCCAGCCACCTTTACTTCCCGGGACTGCACCTGGTACCCACTCAAGGCAGGGTTGACCTAGGAGCCAAGGTCATTTAAAAAAAAAAAAAGTCCAGCTCTGCCAGAGAGCGAACCCACAACCTTCCGATCCACTGCAAGCGACTAGCCGCTTCACCGTGGTGACTCCCCATATTTATCAGTAGTAATTAAAAAAAGAAACATGAACAAATCCGTGTGTTCAGGGGCCCATTCTTAGGGAGAAATTAGCAGACCCACTGCATCACCCTCCCCCACCCCCTTTTCAACCCCACACACGCTTGTTGTAAAAGTCTACTACCTACTGGTGTTTCCTTCAAAATCAGAATGCATCTACCTGGGAGGCAAGGAATCAACAATCGGCATACAAATAAACCAGATCTGCACAATGGATGTGCATGTAAAAAATCAAGTTCTGGAACAATACTAAAGTCCAGAAGTAGGTTAACAACCAGAACTTTCCGCAAAAGTTGACAACCAGTGAATGTGAAGAAGAAGATAAAGAAGAAGTTTGCCTAGAGACAGTGGTAAGTGTCTATGGTTGCAATAAGAAAATGGCACAAAGCAGTTAGAGCAAGGAAAATACTATAAACATCAACTGTAAATAGAACAAAACACTATAAAGCAGTTAGTGCTTGAAGAAAGCAATAAATGTCTTTATTGGCTGCAATTAAAAAAAAATCTATCATGTTTTCTAGAGGTAGGTAGGCAGGTAGTTGTACCCCACTAGGACACTACCCAAACGATAAACACCTGGAGAAACAAAGTTCCACCATGCGGATGAGGATCACCCATGGACAGGTCCCAGAAACTCCTTTCAGTCGTTAGGCCATATATATGGCCTAGGTCATATTTATGGCCTGGTTATATTCAGGGCCCCCCGACAGAAGCCAGAGTGGGGCTTCAAATAACAAAAAATTGCATCCCCCATGGGGACACATTTTTAGTGATATGTTTTCTAGAGACAGCTGCAAATACCATTACCAGCTGCTATTAGAAAATAAATATTTCTGCATAAAGCTGCATATATCCTTGCAAATTACAATAGGAAAATCACTAAAACAACACTGGCTGCACAAAGTTGCATACATCCATCAGGTGTAATAACAAAAACACAATAGAGCAACTGACTCTAGGAAGAAAGCTGCATACATCCATCAGCTGTAATAACAAAAAACACTACAGAGCAACTGACTCTAGGAAGAAAGCTGCGTACATCCATCAGTTACAATAGTTTAGTTTAGTCAATGGAACAACATCACGGCACACGGGTGTAACCCATAAGGGTTCCGTTATACCTCTAACTCAAGTCCTAGTTAGAAGTTTCTAAGTGCAGTGCACAAACTCTGTTGCATCAGCGATAATCCTAAAATACTTCAGGTAGATTTTTAATTCCAAATTTTGCTCGGGCAGTGCCGTTAAGTTACTCTTTTCGATTTCCAACTGACAAGGGATTTTTTACGAGCGCAGATACCAGATACTAACCAGATACCAGGGGAAATTACTAGAAGTCCACGTGAAAAAATGCCAGCCTTTCCTGGGGCTTGAACCCTGGACCTCCAGCCCTCGAGGCAGATGCCATACCTCGGGACTATGTAGCCCCCTTTCAGTTGCAATAGACAAACTAGAAGATAATTAAGAACAGTTTAAAAAAAGCTGTATTGCCCTGGTTAGTGTAAAAAAAAAAAAAAAAAATTTTTTTTAAAGAAGAAAAGAAAATATCACTGTGAATTTAGTACCTGTAGAAAACTGTTAATCTCCTTTTTGGACGGCAACTGGAGAAAACCGAAGACTTATCAATTGGAATACAAAACAAATCTGAAAAATAAGTAACTAACTGCAAGCTGCAGTGGTGTAGCAGCTATATGCCCGCTTGAAGCTCCTAGGTTCAAATTCCCAACAAACCAGACTGAATTGTTTTCCCAAAAAATAGCTTTGGCTCCTAGGTCAACCAAGTCGAAAATGAGCACCTGCTTAAGTCCTGGAAAGCAAAGGCAGTCAGTGTGATGCTGATTACATCCCCCATCAAGTGCTGAGACATCTTTACAAAAAAATCGGTCAGATGTGCCAATGACATGACAAAGGTTCTTTCCAATTTTTTTTTTTATTGTTTTGAGATAGTTTAGTAAAAACTTTCATTGACTATTTCACCATAAAAATACATAAACCACTAACCCACCATGACCTATAAACTAAATGGGTAAAAAGAAAGTGTCAACTAAAGCTACTTTTACATCCTCTTCTTCTTCTTTTCTTTTTTCTTCACTTCCTCACTTACCACTCTGTGTGTGGAGGAAGATATAGTCTTGGTCTTCTGGCCATTTTGACCATGGACACATCATGCTATAGACTTTCTCTGATGTTATTTCTCCATCTTATTCTTGGTCTACCTTGTGCTCTTCATCTTTCTCCTCTTTTGGTGTACGCCTTGTATGGTGTGGCATCACGAGGTATTCTCTCTAAGCTGGCAAATCATTTGATCTGCTGTCTTTGTATGCAAAATTAGAAATGGTTCTATGCCGACTTTTTATCCTATGTTCTTTTTTCTTTGACCTCAAGACAATATCAAAAGAACAGAATGGAATGGAGAAACTGATTACAAACTCTTATGTGGCGCCAGGCACCCCGATAGAGTTGTGGCTAAAAGGTCAAATGGTCTTAAGCTGAAGGTAATTTTGTTGTTGTAAACTGACCTTGGTTCCCAGGGCGACCCAGCCTTAAATAGGTACCAGGTAACGTCCCGGGAAGTAAAAGTGGCCAGCACGATGTTGACTACATCACCCATTGAGGGCCAACTGATTTTTAAAAACATCAAATATCCAATGTGCCACTGGTGTAAGCAGGATTCTATATGACACATAAACAGCATAACAGGATGATAATGATACTGACATAACTAAACATAATAATATATTAAAAAACAACAACCTCAAGCCATCCTGGATACAGGAAAATAAAATGACATGCAAATATTAATTTTAAAGAAAAAAAAAACACTCCCACTAATAGATACCTAGACAATTTTAAGTGTCTTTTCCAGCTGAAAAAAAAAATTTTGAAAATTATTTTTAACTAAACAATATCTGGTATTTTAGATTATAATTTCTACAGGAATTTCTTCCCTTATCATGCGCCACAGGTGTAAACAAATTTTTAAAAAATAATGTCTTTAATTTTCTTCTACCCATCTACCTACTGGAAATTATGTGCTTCCTGAATTTCATACTGACTTCATGTGCATTCAAATTATGGTTAAAAGTGTGCACAAAATGTCTATTATATGCTCCACAACAAAATACAAACACAGCCTAGTAATGTAAATGCAGAATAATACATAA